TCCCAACACTCAGAGCCCTCCTAAGACCTAGTCACAGCTCTTGCCACGGAAACAGGCCTCTCCCCACAGCACCTCAAAGAAGGCACTATGTGTGGAGCAGATGGCACTCAGAAACTGATTAAGATCAGTCTACGTTATAAACAGAAGCTCTGAAACCTGAGGGTGGTGGCAACGTTTCTTCCCAAAGAACATTACTGGTGCGGAGACGAAATGATGTGAAGGGTGGATGTGGTGAAGATGTCACCACGGGTGATGGCTGGCATTGTTTGTTCTCTGGAGCAGTGGGACCCAACCCTGGATGCACATATTGTCACTTGAAGGAGACCTTTTAGAAATATCTGCTCTCCCCCGAACCCAAAATACAACTGGATTTGGTTGTGTGACCTTGGGTGCCACTCCATTTCTGTCAGTCTCAGCTTCTTCACCTATAAAGTCACCCTAATAAAAGCTGCCCTATCTCAGAAACAGTGTGAGCATCAAATAAATAAATAGCTTTGTGAAGCAATGTTCAAGTATTGTGAAAATGTTAGTTATGTTTAAGCTCTTTAATCACAGTCCCTTGCAACCAGAGGCTCCTGGTTTTATAACACGGACAGGTGCTGCTAGAGTACATTTGGTGATCACGAAATAGAATGAAGTTATCTGGCCCCTATAGGGACAGAGCCTCACGACTTTGGACTCATTAGGGCTTAGTTATGACTAAAGAGACTGGCCTCATTGTTACAGTCCAGTCGGTCAATTTGGAAATACTATGATGTTATTTGACAAAGAAATGGTCAGACATCCCAGTAGATGCTGTAAGACAATAAAATAAAAGTTGACTGAGGAAAGCTGGGACAAAGATCTATTAGTAAAGGACATAAGAACTTTCCCAGCAAAAGATCTAGTGCCAGCACACATGTGTGCACCTGTATGTGTATGTGTGTATCCCCGGCCTTTGTCCTTCATATCCTACCCCAATAGAGGGGTCACTGTGGAATACAGGAAAGTCCAGTTTCTAGTCCTGGTTCTCCTCTTAACTACCTGGGTGACGTACACATCCTTTTACAACTCTGCAGGCCTCAGAGGGCATTTGAGTGCATGGTAATTAAAAATTCTGAAGTTTCCTTCCAGCCCTAAAGTCTACGGCTTGAAGCACAGTTTCACACTATCATCCTTCATGGGCTGACAGAAGAGATGACTCATGAAAACTCAGGCAATGCTCCTGCCTCGAAGTCCCATGTGCTTGGAGAACTGGAAATGCTGTGACTAAGAACATGAGTTCTTCACCCAGTCCCAGCCCTGGCTACCACTGAGTCACCATAATGCTTTTGTGCTATCTCTGAGTCACTCAGCAAACCCATCACAAATTGTTTTCATTCTAGACCAGCTTCCCCAAACTACCCAGTAGCATACATATAGTAACTGAACAAGTATTTCAGAATGCCTACAATGCGTCAGGCTGCGTTCTAGACCCCAGGGATATAGCCGTGAACAACACAAACACCTTTGCCTTCCTAGACTTGACATCCCAGTCGTCAGAGGATAACAAAAAGAAACATACTTTGTAGGTTCCTGTTCAGACCTTTTAAGCATATTCCAGCTCATCATGAACTTTCTTAAAACTGTGGCACCCCAAAGTTGAGCAAAAACTCCATCCAAGTGCCCTAAATAGAATCTGGCTTTCCAGATCATAATGAAAGTGTATTTGTAACTTTTAGATTTATCTTGATCAGGGTGGGAGGACTGAATATATTTTGTTTAACAGGCTGGTGGCTTGACTTATTACTCAAATATTTAGACCTTTGGTATGTGGGCCTCTGCTTGGACTCTGGTCTCTGGCCCCACCGGGGTGAGAGGTGGGGGTGTTGATGGAGTGTGTTGAATTTCTCAGAATTACTTTCTTATTCATGGCAGCAAAATCCATAGGTTTAAGTTTGATTTTCTCCAAACAAATCAACAGCATAGTATAATTTTTGTTAGGCATTTTCTGTTGCGAAAACCAAACCTGCACAGATGAGCTTCTGCATTTTCTCCCCCCATCTGCACCGGATTCTGCACAGTGAGGCCTTCCCTCTGCCACACGGCTTCCTCTCGTGTGCGGCTTTGGTTTGCTCATGGCTGCTCTGTGCTCCTCTAACTGAGCAGGCTTTAAACACTCACCCCTGGTTGCCATCTGTCAGATATGCTCCACATTCCTTGATTCAAAACTTCAGGGATGCCCTGGCTGGTGTAGCTCAGTGGATTGAATGCGGGCTGGGAACCAAAGTGTCCCAGGTTCGATTCCCAGCCAGGGTACATGACTGGGTTGCAGGCCATAACCCCCAGCAACCGCACATTGATGTTTCTCTCTCTCTCTCTCTCTCTCTCTCTCTCTCGCTCTCTCGCTCTCTCGCTCTCCCTCTCCCTCTCTCTCCCTCCCTTCCCTCTCTAAAAATAAATAAATAAAATCTTAAAAAAAAAAACTTCAGGGACAAGAATCTGCAGTCATGTACCGCATAACGACATTTTGGTCAAGGATGGACTGCATATACAAGAGTGGTCCCTTGAGATTATAGTGAAACTAAAGAATCCTATCACTTACTGATGTTGTGACTGACATAACATCATAGTGCGACACATTACGCACGTTTGTGGTCCTGCTGGTGTAAACAAATCTGCACTGCCAGTCACATGAAAGTACAGCACACACAATTACAGTTGTGGGCTATACCATCTAGGTTTGTGCAAGTGCACTCTACAGTGTTCTCACAATGACAGAATTGCCTTCCAACACATTTCTTAGAATGGGAAACCTGTTGGTAAGTGGCACATGGCTGTGATTTGATCTCCTTGCCCCTTTGTGGGAAATGTTTACCCCAGGTCAATTCATAGGCCATCCCTGGTCTAATTAATACATTTCATGTGACATTGATGAGAAGGCTGTTATTTAGTTAGGTGTGTACCCCTATGCAATCACCTGCAGGTGGAGGGGATCATGTAATAGAAAATATGGTGGCTGAGGGCAGGTTCATCAGCAGGGCAGGCCTAGGGGGTGGGGGGGGGGCAGAGTGCAGTTCTCCTCAGAAGTAGCTGAAGGCACAGAAGACTGCATGATTGTTTAGTGTGGTAGTTGTGGTGAGTGTTGGGAGCCTCCCTGACATATTTTCTACATACTCTTCAAGAAAACAGTTCATCTCCTGATTACCCATGACACACCACCATAGTGCATCCCTGTTACTAGAGCACTAACCAGTAACATACACATCTTCTTTCCATGGCAGGTACAAGGATGGTTTAATCAGCTATTATCAGTGGCTCTTCATTTTGTGAGATGTATGGAATATACTGCTTGTTCCTTGAAGGTGCATAATTTACTTTGGGTGAGGGCTGCACCCCACTTAATGAGGGGCCAGGAAAGGTCTAGATAAGGCCCTAGCAAAATGGTAATGGTTGGATCCTCAGTGAGACTTGCTAGAAGGAACATTTATGAATCTGAACCAAAGTCTTTAGAAAATATCAAGAAAAAAATTGAGGAAGCCAAGTCCAGGTGGCAAATCCAGAAGCAGAACAAGGGCAAAAGCAGGAGACAATCCAAGCATCAGGAATTGGGCAAAACTGGAACAGATGGAAGGTGAGGGGAGGGCTGCTGAGGGGGGGGGCAAGCATCTGCACTTGCTTTTATGGACTCACCAGGTGGCTTGTGCTGGGTAGTGTTGGTCTAAAGGCAACTGATTGAGGGAGACCTTCAGGAAGAGCCCTTCTTCTCCCCCATTTACTGCTGGTCACATTCTTTTGTCTCCTGGTTCTGGAGAATCATTCCAACTCTCCTCCACCACCTTGAAACTTTCTACTTTCTGCTACAATTTCCTCTTCCTGCTAATCTCAGGAGAGGTTAAGAATATCCAGCTTTGCATCTTCCCCAGGGAAACCCTGCCTGTCCACTCCCCCCACCACATCCCCCAGTATGCCATTCCTGGGGAGAGCTGCTTTCTCTTTATATTGCATATCCTGCCCCACCAACTTCCAAGCTGATAACAATCAAGGAGAGGTAGCAGTTAATTTAGTCACTTGTTATCACCCCTTTGATTTGCTCTCACATCATCTCAGGGACTCACCTCATTCCTCTGGCCAGCTAATCCACAGGAAACAGGTAACACCTTGGTCACAAACCACACACACTGCATGTTCCATACCTTTCCTCCGAGTGCTGCCTGAAAAAGGCATGCACAAAGGCATTCTATGGCCAAAGATGATGCCACCGATAATTATGAATGGGAGAAAGTCCCTTGAATTGCTCAACTGACACTGAGGCCATTAAAATGTCCTTATTCCTAAGGAAAACTTTTTAAAGGTCAGACCACAGTGGGCCTACTTGCAAATGACCATTTGAACCTCTATCTCTACCTGAGACTTTTCTTGTTACACAATGCAGAATACCTGTAAAGTCACCCACCAAAGGGAGACCTCTATGGGTGGGGTGAGTGTGGGGTCAGGAGGTTGTCTCCCAAATCTCTATTTAGAATGCACTGACAAAAGTGATCCAGAGTTGCAGCAATCTTACTATGGGTGCTGTACGATGACAACACTGAGGCAAAATGGGCTTTTGTGGACTGGCATGGGAACCAGGCTCTGGGTACACTTCCAGTCCTTCTGAACATATTTTACTTATAATTTTAGGACTGTCACTAGTGCCTATTAAAAGTCTTAGTATCATAGAATCCTATTGTTAATAAAGCATCAGCTATTACCTGAAACTAACATTCACCTTTCAAAAACAGGGTGTTCTCCCTGAGAAATACTTTTGCTGCTTCTCAGGTGCCAGTTATTTGGAACTATTCCAACAGCCCTAATCTCTGAGATGTCTACACTAGCTAAAAATACACAATTTATAAAGAACTGGCCACTTCACCTGAAATTTCCATTCATTGAACCAATTGCAACATTAAGCAGGTGTTATCATGGTCAAGTCTATTACTTCAACTCAAAACGTATTTCAGTGTTTACCAGTGGCCTAAATGATGACTTAGGATCAAGGGAAGTATTTATTGAGTATACAGTGTTTGCAAACACATGGAACAAATTTAAATTGCATGGAGGAAAACCCCAACACAAAAGTGCTCCAGGTTACCGATTGTAAAAAGGCCAGCAAAATCATTTTTACCACAAACTGATTGTGGTGACTTATCTCTGTGTTAACATAAACATGTAACAGGAATATCATCCAGCCCTTTATCATCCAGCCCTTTAACACTTGTATAAATGTGTGTTCTACAGTAGTTTAGAATTTACAGCAACACAGGCCTTTCTCAACCAACCAAGCACTATTTCCTGAGTGCCTATACAGTGGGGGAGATACAGGTACTAAAGGACACGTTTGCCTTCGGAGTAAGCAGTTCAATTGTTTTTCTTAGCAAGTAACTCAAAATCCACAATAACTCCATCCAGAGAGCCCTCAGAGGAGCTGCAAGCTGAACTAAACTGATGTCCACCACAAAACCCTTTTTCTCTTTTTTAAAAAATATATTTTTTGATTATGCTATTACAGGTTGTCCCACTTCCCCCTCTTTACTCCCCTCTGCCCTGCACACTGCAAACCCTTTTCTCTTGAACCCTCAACAAGGTCTCCTATCTTTGTGCATCCAACTAAAATAAATGGCCACTTGTAAATAGTGTACACATGACAACAATATACATTCACATATTTCCCCCCACACATTATCTTATTTAAGAGAAAGAGGTTTTTTGGAGTCAAGATTGAGTCCTCGTGGTGATTGTCACAATAAGTGTTACTTTGGGTTAGTCACTTTAGCTCTCTGGATCTCAGTTTTCTCATATCTAAAATGAAATCAATAACAGAATTACCTTATTGGGTGGTTGTTAAGGACTAAAGGAGCTAATACTTACAAATTTCTTACCACAGGGAGCACCTATTCAATAAACAGATTTCATTATTTCTCTTTAATAATTACCTCAACCTTTGTAGGTTTGCCCAGGCAGTTATTGACCCCTGTTCGATAGATGAGATTAATTTACCCAGGGCTAAACAATTCCTTAGTGGCGGCTCCAGGGTTTCTGATTCCAAGCCCCAGGCCCCTCACCACGCCCATCATCCCCAGTCAACCCTAAAGACTTTTATAGAATGGGTTGCACTGTCCAGCACAAGAAGAGAATTCTCCTTGGTGAAGGTCAGTGCCACAGGATGAGAAAGACCATGGGTAATGATGGGCTTCAGTACTGGAAACTCCTCGGGTTTGCCTAAGCACAGGACCGCATGACTGGAGGTATCGGCGACAATCACATTCCCCTGGTGATCGAAGGTCACAGCAGAGGCAGTTATTTCATAAGGGAAGAAGAGGCTCAGCCCAAAGGTATCCACCTGGCCGATGAGCTGCATGCTTGCACTGAACACCTTCACTGTGGTGCTGCAGGTCCCGGGCCCCAGCGTCAGGGGGCGCTCTAGGACTGCAATGGCCCCAGTGAGCCCAGACACTGCCACCGCTCTGGGACTGCGCAGATGCGCTTGCAACCTTTCTGTTTTCCGGAGGACCCCTTCTGGAAAGTCCACATCCAAGAGGTGCAGGGATCCTGCTTCCGCATCAGTTACCACGACCCCATTCTGAGGGGTGGTCTCCACACCCCAAGGCAAGGAGAACTGGCCTCCAATGACAACTTTGATCTGGCCAAAAAAATCGAACACTTTGATCGAGCGGTCGCCGGCATCGGTAACAACCACATGGCAGTCGTTGGTGACGGCGACATCGAGTGGGTACCTAATTTCCTGGGCAGCGTCCCCCTTCTCTCCAAACTGATGAGCACATCCTCCCCCGGAATCAAATATCTTGACCCGCCTTTTGCCGTCGTGCACCACTACTACCCGCCCTGTCTTGGGACACAGCGCCAGCCCAGTGGGGTTAACCAGGGTTCCCCAGCCGCCAAAGGCTTGGTGGCAGGTAAGGGTCCCAGAGCAGCAGGCGGGGACGCGGTGCGGGGCCGGGGCCTGGCGCAGTGTGGAGCCCAGCAGCTCCAGGAGGTGCAGCACCGGCAGGCAGTCGCTAGTGTCGGAGCCCCGGCAGGCTCGCCGGCAGAAGGGGCACTCGAGGGCAAGCGTCCGCGGGTGCGCCAAGGCAGCCACGCAGGCCAGGCAGACCACGTGGCCACAGGGCAGGTTGCGCGGACGCCGCTGCTGGCGATGGCCGAACCTTTCAAAGCACACCTTGCACTCGAGCAAACTGGTCTCGGCCTCGCGCATGAGCTCCGGCAGGGCAGGCCCGCTCCCGGAGGCCTCCGCACCCATCATGCAGCCACTGGCGTTCCAGCTGCACCACTAGCTTGGGACTGGACACCGCCCAGCACCGCCCAGGGTCACGGTCAAAGGGCGGAGCGCTGGTCCTGACGTCAACCTCAGCGGTGCGCACATGGGAGACCTGCTGCCCTCTGGTGGGCGTGTGAAGCACTGCTTCCTAAAAGCCTGACAGTGGGCATTTACAAGTTGTATGCACAGCGTGTGATCAGACGTGTAATCTTCGCAACAGTCATGGATGGATTATGTCCACCTAACACATGAAGAAGTACACCTACTTATAACAAGAGGGTTCCTCCCTGTAACCCAGTCTGTTAATGGCAAAGCAAGAACTAGAACAACCCAGTCTTCCAACTCTGGTGTCCTGCAGTTTCCAAATCTCCAAGCTGCGTGCTTGGTGCTAGGGCTGGCCAGACTCACAGTTCATGCTGCTTGTGATCAGACTAGGAAAACACAGACACACGAGGAAAGTTAAACTTCAAGGGGGCGAAGCAGGTGTGTGTCTCCTATCACACTTGCAGTTAAAGTAGATAATAAATACGTATAAAATCAATTCATGTAGGAACAATGGTGTATTATAGGACAATACAAGAAACCCATTAGGTGAATGAGTATGAGATGGGGGAACCATGACTGGGAATGTCTTCTAGAGAAATTAATATGAAATATGTAAACCGTTCATCATAATTGCTATAGAACTTATGCTGTCTGCTTTCTATTAAGTGCTTTACATATATTATCGTATTTAAGCCTCATGACAATCCTATAAGAATGTTATTTTCATCATCCCTTTTTACAATAGAGTTCATAGAAGTTAAGCATCTTGTCTAGAGTCACATGGCTAGGAAGTGGCCATGCTTGGATTTGAAGCCAGGCAGTTTGATTGCAGAGCCCACCTCTTAACCATCCCAGTGTTTTTCCAATCTGTGCTTCTCATACCTAAGGTTTAATTGGCCTGGGGAGTGGTCTGGGCAGCTGGGATTTTTAAAGCTCCCGGGATGATTATAATGTGCAGCCAAGTTTGACAACCACTAACAACTGCACTATGACAATCCTTCACATGACACCAGGGTAAATACTTCCAACCTCAGTCAAGATTGAAAACATAGAGCATCTACCCTATATTTTAAAAATCTCCAAATAGGTGACAGCATAACCTCTCTCAAGAATCTCTCATTTTCAGGAAATCCCCACTACCTCTGCCCCCCAATACCTTACATGAACATTCTCTTCATAAAACCACATATCAGCTCACTTGTCTTCATTTAGAGACCATTACCATGATCATTCACCCCTTATTTGCTAGACTTCTGGGAAAACAGAGGATTTTTATTCTGTGTGAAAACCCCTGGAGAAGCTTTAATGTAAGATAAGAAAGAACTTTTTTTATGTGTTACATGACTCAAAGATTATCTATGTGTTGGAACATAAAACCAATTTAATATTATAACTTCAGGATATAATACACCTCCATTCCAAATAAACAACAAAATAAAATCTAATCAAATAGAAATTATTTTCTGAAGTAATCTTTAAGTCAAGAAATATATTCAGGAAACCAAAAATGTAATATTGTTAGACCTAGTCTTGGGACACAGCACCAGCCCAGTGGGGTTAACCAGGGTTCCCCAGCCGCATTATAATGAGAGCCTCATTATAATATTAGATTTTCTAGTACCCACATTTTAAAAAGTAAAAAGAAACTAGTGTGATTATTTTAATTTTATATTTTTTTAACCCCAAATATACAAAATCCATTTGGACATGAAATCTTTACAAAAATTATTAAGGAAATATTTTACTCTCTTTTTTTAGTACTGAGTAAAATTCAGTGTGTATTTTACACTCACAGCATGTCCCAATTCAGACCGGCCCCACATCAAATGCTCAGTAACCACATGCCACTGGTGGCTGTGGCAGAAACAGCCCAGATCTAGGACAAGTCTGCACTGTGAATGTTGCCTTCTCAAGATGTTTTCCAGACGATTCCATTGATTTCTTGACTTGCTTCTAGCTTGTCTCTGCTCCAACATTTTTTTAAAATGTGTCCAAAGATCCCTCAACTCATTGCTGACTGTGGGGGAGGTCAGACCCTTCCATGACCTTAGGTAGCTAGCTGTCAGGAGAGAACAGGAGGGCTCCACCTTGTTGGCTCAGCTCGGGGATAATCCTGCCTTCTTCTTGATCCTCTGCTGCCTCTGCGGGACAGCCAGTAGTACTGCACCAAGAGGTGAGGTAAACCAGAAAAGGTGCAATAAACCTGGTGTTTTAAAAGAATGATCATTAATAATTGCCCTACTGCTTGGTAGACAGCACAGTAGTTCTGGAAAGCCTTGTGGCACATACAGAGACAATCCATTCTCATGAATTACTGTCAAGGCTCTAATGGCAAATTTGAAGAATGAAAATATTTTGGGGCATGTGATTGGGAATTAAGGTTTTCTCACTTAAGCTTCAGAGCTAAAAACACGCAGGTTGGAGTCTTTCACAGTGTAGGGCCCCCCATTCTTGCTCAGCATCCTTAGCAATCATCTTCTTCAGGGTGTGCTGCCTCTATAGGAGGTAAACACAGGTTCTGTTCCAGCGTTCCTGTCCATCCAGCCTGGTCAGCCCCTTCTCCTAGTTTGTCCTTTTTGTACTTTACCAAGTGTGTGGAGTCCAGTTTCCCTTTTTATCCAATCTTTTAAAAAATCTTATTAAATTTATTGAGGTGACATTAGTTAATAGAGTCATATAGGTTTTAAGTGTATATTCCTATGATACATGATCTGTATATTACATTGTGTGCCCAACACCCAAGGTCAAATTGTCTTAAAAGTGCTCTTTATCTTCACCCCTTTTTTCTTTTGCCCCTGTCTCTGGAGAGAGAAACTAAGTTCCAGGAGAGCAGGAACCACATCTGGCTGTGCTTGGCAGCATGTCCACAGATCCTAGCACACGCCTGATACACAAGTAATTGCCAATAACATTTCTTAAATGGAAGAATGAGTGAATACATAGAAGGATGCTATTTACAAGTAGTAAACACAAATGTTATACCTTTTCTTTGATGATTCTCTGGGATTTATAAGAAGCATTGTTAGTAAAGTAGCAATTAGCCAGGAACAGGGCTAAGCATTTTTCCTGTCTCTAATGGGCTTCTCAGTGGGACTATAGAGTATAATCCTCGTCACATATATACACACCTTGATTAATAAAAGAAATGCCCTGAGTCTCACTCTAGCATTTTGAGTTTTTGATGGTGAATCTTTCCATGGCACAGTCTCCGTGGATTTCTTCTGTTTCCCTCCAACACACCTCACTTGGAGGGTCCTGGAATAACATACCCTCCTCTTCCTGCTTCTGCCTAGAATGAGACCTGAAGGTTCTGGGGCCATAGGACTTGAAGAATAGGACCTCTGGCCAGTGGCTGGACCTATGTTGAAAGTACCATCTAGCAGAAAAGGGAAAACGGAGACCCAGCTCAGGCGGTTATAGCAAAGAAGAAGGAGCTCAGGAGAGCAGGCTGAGGAAACTGAGGAGGGAGGGGTTGCTTAGGTTTTGCAAATGTGGCGAGATATGCCACATACATGCAGTTTAGAGGGCATCCCAAAACAAGTCCAATGACACAGTTACCTCCCAGACTGTACCTGACAGTGATGGCAGAGAAAAGAGAGGTGCAAGGCACATAGAATGGAATCATCTCAGTTAGGGGGGACAGGTGTAACTTCTCGGAAGAGAAAGAGCAAAGACAGTAGGTTCTTGAGCATGGGCTCATGAGTCCAAAAAGCAAAAAACCTGCTTCCTCCGCTAAACTGAGTCCTTCCTGGGTCAGTCAGTTTTGAGTTTCTTTTCTATTTTTTTTTATTAATTTTTAGAGAACAAAAGAGAGAGAGGGAAAGAGGGAGGGAAGGAAGGAGAGGGAAAACATTGATTTGTTGTTCTACTCATTCATGCATTCATTGGTTCATTCTTGTATGTGCCCTGACTAGGGATGGAACTTGCAATTTTGGGGTACCAGGACGATGCTCTAACCAGCTAAGCTACCCAGCCAGGGCAGTTCTGTGTTTCAGGCTGGCTTCAGGACACCTCCTCAACAGGTGAGTCTCTGCAGCCCATGTGGTTCCTTGGACTCTGCCCTGGGCTCTCGTGACATCTCTAGCTTTGCCCTTCCCCCAGGGCATCCTGTTTTCTCAGTGCTCCCTCTGACCACCCATCTGTGTAACTCATGTCCACATGCTTGGCTTCTCAGGGTGAGGGGGTTTGGTGGAGAGGAGGCAGTGATTCAGGCCTGAATGTTTTCAGTGCCTACAGAAAAATGAGCTGGAGGGTATGGTTGGAAAGAGGAACCTGGAGATTTTAAGGTCTCTTGAATTTGAACAATTTTAGGACACTGTCCTTGGTCTTTTTCTCTTCTCTTTCCAACTGCTCTCACTGAACAATGTTGTCCTCACTTATTGACAGGTTAAGTGGCCACTTAGGAGCTGACAGCTGCCTGTGTGTCCCCTAAGGCAGCCTTACCACACTGCATAGTAGTGATCAATGTCCAGGCTCTGCCACTAGGGCCTCAGATTCCTAGAGAGGGACTGTCTTCACTCGTCAGTGAATCCTCATCCAGCACTTTCAAGAGTACCATTTACATTTGCTGAGTGACTCTAAATAACAGGAGAAAGATGAAATGATTATGGTACTGCCACATGACAGAACATGAAACAGCTTTAAAGAAGCTTGTTTTTTAAAAACGGTGACGTGATGCCCTGACTGGTGTGGCTTGCTTGGTTGGCCGTCGTCCTGCAAAGTGAAGGGTCGCCAGTTTGACTCCGGCTCAGGGCACAGGCCTGGGCTGTGGGTTCCATTTTGGATGGGGTGCATGCAAGGGGCAACCCATCAATGTTTCTCTTTATCTTTCCCCCTCCTTTCCCGCTCTCAAATAAATAAATAAATACAATTTAAAAAATAGTGACATGAGAAAGGGTTGATGAAATACGAGGGAAGAGAGTAGAGAGACAATACTGTATCCATAATATGATCTCAAATTTGCAAAAACATACCCGTGCATGAGCAGACAAAAAAGATAAGAACACATAACTGGTTTAGCAGAAATTTTTTCTGGTGATAGGACTTGGCTGCCTTTGTTTCTTTTTTAGACTTCCCTGTACTTCCAAAATTTTCAGTGAGAATGTATTTTTTTATTATTATTAAATACAAACATGAATACTTTGGGATATGTTTGATTCTTAAATACATCCCTTCATTATGCTCCTTCTCTCTGCTGTTGAGAGTTAACACCAATGTTGACACGAGGTTCTATTAATATCCAGTGGTCAGGGATAACAGATTTTCAGTTCACACGTTACTGCTGCCCACAAAAAATAAACCTGGGACATGATTAATTACCACGGACAGCAGTGTGACGATGTTTAATGTATAAATATGGAATCCCACCCTACCCCAGCCACTTAGCCACTTCAGTGAATCTGTGATATGTTTTACAAGAAATAAAGCATATGGGATAAGAAGTGATGGGTTGAAGACAATTTTGATATTTTAAAAAGTAGTCAGAACTCTTTTTAAAAAAAGATCTTTAAAGAGTATGTGTCACCCTGGCTGTTGTGGCTCAGTGGACTGAGCACTGGCCAGTGAAAAGAATGGTCACCTCTTCAATTCCCAGTCAGAGCACACGCCTGGGTTGTTGGGCAGGTCCTGAGCTGGGGGCGCATGAGAAGCAGCTGATTGATGTTTCTCTCACACATTAATGTTTCTCTGCCTTTCTTTCTCCCTTCTCCTTTCTAAAAAATAAATAAAAATCTTTTAAAAATTGTGTTATATATTCATATATATCTTAAGTACACATGCATATCACACCCTGTTATTAAACTAAAATGAGAGGTATGCACTACAGTTATGAATGGGAAAATTATTTGGACTAATTGCTCTGTGGGTGAGATTTATTTTTGTTGCTTCGTTCTTCTTCCCAGGAATCCCCTTTCACCTGACAGTATATCTCACCAGGTACAACTTCTACGGTGCTTTCTGTGGTCCCTATACCATTAACCCTTTAGAGAACAAAATCTCTAGCCCACCAGCGGTAGGTGTTAAAGCTTTGGTTGTATTTCTTCACAGTTTTTCTCCCCATATTCACACAAATGTGACTACTATGCACTTTTGTTTCATCCTGACACTGAAATCACTATGAGTGTACCAAATGCCAGTGCATGCATGCCTGCTGTTCAGGCTGGGTAAGGCATTTCTTAACTCACTGTGTCAGGGCCCAGAGGCTCAGGTAATCTGTTATTTAAATTACCAAGCTGAATAAAAGGCATTTCTAGAAAATTCAGAAAGTAATACAATTAAAATAATTTATATGCAGTATATCTTCCGTCTTGAGATGTTTTAAAAGATCAGTGTTCCCCCAATGAGGCTATATAATATGTCCGAGTTCTTCCGCCAGGGCAGCTGGGCTTCAGGATGAAAAGAGAAACCAAAAACACCCAGGGCTCTCTCCAGCCCTCCTCTCGGCCTCTCTTTCTGCAGACAGCATTCTCTTCTTCTCAGATCTTTAGAGTACAGTGTGGCTGCCTCACTGCTTATGGGTTCACCTGTTAATTTCACCCCCTCTAAGCAGCTTTTCTCATCCAATTCTAAAAATCTATGAAGAGAATCAGATTGGCCCAGCTCAGGTCAGCTGTCCCTTCTGGGTCCACTCAAATGATGACAAAGGTAGAGTCAGATAGTCACGGCTTCTGGAAGCCCACACCATGAACTGGGGACAGTTCTCAGAGAATCCAGAACCATGATGAGCTGGGGGACACGCCAAATGAATAGCATCAGAGCATACAGAATAAGACCACTGCCAGAGAGCATCTGGGGCAGCAGGTCCTGAATGGGGACAGAAGAGGTGGAGAGCTCAACTCTGAACCCTAAGGAAGTTTTCAGTGTGTCCTGCTTATGACATATTTCTAAGGACAGTATCTATAGTTTTCATCAACAGCCACGGGGTCTAAAAGCTTCCCCCTTTAACCCAGCACACACACACAATTAAGTAACTTATTTCTTAATAATAAGCACATGCCATCCTATTAACACAAACCAAACAATCTACTTTATTTAGGTGTTAGTGCGGTTCGGGAGGGACGTGCAACTTCAAAACCATGGTTTCCGGTGAAACATTGAGAAGCGCGGCGTCTGCACGCGCAGAGCCTGAGCAGCCCGGAGCCCCGCCTTCCGTGTGCTGCGCTTTGCGAGGCTGCAATTGAAGCAAGATTAATTTTTTTAAAAAAACTGCCAAACTCAGAAAGAACTTTTAGGATTTATTTTTACAGATTCGGAACAATATTTTATTGCATATAGACTGGTTTGATTAATTTTAAAATTTTCTTCTTGATTTTGTTACATACAAAATTATATAAAGAGAAAAATGTGAAAAGGACTTGAGAAGAACGTGAAGGTTTACAGGAAGAGCTAATATCACACACAATTCCTTAGACTACTTTCTTTTACCTTGAACTGTGTTACAGCCTTACATTTCAGTGGTTTTCAATTTCATAAAAATGACAATTTTTCTATTAATTTAAGTTGTATACATTGCTTTTCTATTTTTAAGAAGTTTTAAAAAAGATTTTCTTTATTTATTTTTAGAGAGAAGGGAAGGAGAAAGAGAGGGAGACAAACACCAATGTGTGGGAGAATCACCCGCTGGCTGCCTCTCGCACGCCCCAACGGGGGACCAAGCCCACCACCCAGGCATGGGCCCTGACAGGGAGTCGAACGGGCCGCCCTTCCCTCAGCGGCACAATAACTGACCAACTGGGCCACACTGGTTGGGGCTCTCCTTTATTTTTTAATTACAGAAGTAATACATGCTGATTGTAAAAAATTATTGCAATTTGTAAGTAAAACACACAGGTATAATCTATCACTGCAATCACACTCTCCTTTCTAAAGGTAGCGACTTTAACACTTCAGTATGTTTTTTCCCCTAGAAAGTTACATACATTTCTGTGACATGCTATGCAAACAATTTTTTTTCAAAGGTCATCCATTACATTTTCATGCCTTAGCCTAATTTTCATTTGCTCAAAAGCTCAAAAACTCAATGTTACTCGCTTTTACTTGTGTCTCATTTACTTTTCTGTAAGTAGATACAAATTCTCAACAAGGGAGTCAATCCCCCAACTTCTGTGTCGCTCCTCAAGCACGTCCACCTGCTCAAGGCACCGACTGCTGCACACCGCACCTGGAGCAGAAGACAGGGCGACAAGGCACAGCTTTATGAGGAACACAGTCAGGGGGGCTTCTTGAAACGTATCAAATCCCTTTTAAATGGAGACTTTTCTCTTCTTTTAATGAAAATAGGAAAACACTGAGGCAAATGTTCTGAATTATCATCATGTGTAACAGCTTAGAGCCAAAATAAATATACCATCTCTGCAGAAGATTCAAATAGCTTCAACATAAGCATGCCATTTAGCTAAAAAGGCAAATTATAGAGATCTGTCCCTTTTTTAAAATCTTTACCCGAGGAAATTATTTTCCTTCCTTTTTCAGAGACAGAGGAAGGGGGAAGAGGAGTGGGAGGTGAGAGGGAGTGGGAAGGGGAGAGAAAGAGAAAGAAAGAGAGAGAGAGAGATCACTGTGAGAGAGAAACATCTATTGGCTGCCTTTCTGTACACACCCCAGCTAGGGACTGCACCCACAAGCTGGGTATGTGCCCTGACGGGAATTGAACCTGCCACCTTTCAGTCCATGGCACAGCACTCCAACCAACTGAGCCACATTGACTGAGGCAAGATCTGTCCCTTTTCTAAGATAAAATAGTCTTTAATAAAATGGTTTCTGACCTTTAAGTTTTATACCTCTAGATAGTAATAGTTTGATAACAGCTCAAAGCAGTTAACTGTCGACTTTGTTTTAAAAGTTACAGCATATACCCATAACTTACCAAACAATCTTTTAATTTCAGCATCTGAAACATAAAATGGTGGGCCTAGGTAAAAGAGAAACATGGTTAGATCTAATTCTAAAGAGAAACAAATTCTCAGGGCCCACTTCTCAGCTTACTTCCAGTGACCTAGGCGTACTTATTCTCCATATAACTTGATTAGCCAAATGGGTGGGGATGTGACCAGTTCTGCTGCTGCTTCCTTTCTACTCTCTCAGACCAAAGACTGCCTCAGTGAGGGAAAGCGATGGCAGGTGCCCATCTCCAGCAGAGGCGAGATGGCTGAGCAGCCATGGGGTCTGACAACACTGAACTCAGAATGGAGTTGATTAACAGATTCCCTTGGGGGTTCCTTCATCTTCTGGGGTACTGATTTTCTACTGCTCATGCACACACCCACATTCTATACACCCTCCCACTTTACTGAGGGCCATTAACTTTAAAGGAAACTTAACTTCTGACCCTTTCTAGAGCTCTCTCCTCTGGGTTCCACCCCCAGACAGAGCCTGCAGTGTTCCCACCCACAGGCCTGCTGTTCAGGAATGAAGTTGAAATCAGATTAGCAGAGCTGATGTCTGTCTCCATCAATTTCTGTTTCCATCTGATTGTCCCATTGGGAACACTAGGTCTTATCTTTTAGTGAATTTTTAAGATGATTTATTAAAACAAAAAAATACTAAGATATGTAAATGTTTATAAAATACAGTACTTTTTAAAAAACTCAATTAAAAATCAAAAAGGGACTTTTTACAAATTAAAAGTCTATATACTCGGTTTTCAAATCTTCCTGAAAATGAAAGTTCAGCCATGACAAAGGTTATGGTTTAATGTTCAAACACATCGAAATCGGTCCAGAAGAAAATATTACTTTTACAAAGTCAAAACGTAGTTATAAAATCATAAAATCAATAAATTATAAAATTTCAGAAACTAAAAAACAGCAATAGTTGGACTTCCCTGCACACCTCCAACCTCCCCAGGCCACTCTGCCCCATCCTCCTGAGAGGGTGTGTGCGGGCTGTGGGCATCGCACAGCCACCGCAACACCACCGATGACACGGACACGCGCTGTCTACAGCAGAGCAGTCAGGTCTCTCCCTCCTAACCAAATCCCCCCTCTCTTCTGTTTTGAGCTGTGCATGAACAAAATGGGATTGGAATATGAGAAAAATATGCATTGAGTGGGGAGACAGAAAAATGTTTATCATTTCCATTAGCCCACACTAGACTTATCTTCATGTATGTGTATAAGCAGTATACTTCCTATGGGAAAGTTAGGAGAAAATTAATGCTATTTATGTCATATAATTAAATCAGAAAATGAGGCAACTAGGAAAACAAAAAGACTTTACCTGCATGTTTAGTTGGATCATAAGAAACAACGCTCAAGAGGTACTGAAACCCTTTTCTCATTAGGGACAGCATTATATCTGCATAACTAAAAAAAATACACAACAAAGTATGTATTAGATTTCTCTACAAAGGCAAAGTCTGCGAGGTGAAAGGCAGCATTTACTTTCATCTACACTACTGAGTGTATTTCTCCTAACAACCCTGTGAAGCCAATTCTTATTTTGAAAGTCAGCAGTGGGTTCAACAAATTGTCACCTGCCTCGACTGGGAAATAATAAAGGTGGGAGTCAAAATGAGCCACTCAGACCAGAAGACTTCACAGTAAGATGGACAGAGGCTCCTTCCTCCTGTGTACTCAGAGGCCTTCTGCTTTGAACACGTTCTTCCCAAAGGGCTGCCGCATGTACCCGTGCTCTGGGGCAGTGACACCTCTTCCCAGGCTGGTATCAAAATGACTTGGACACCGGCTTAAAGGAAAGATGCTTGAACTCCATTCTCACAGACTGATTCAGCAGGTTTACTGTGGGGCATGGGATGCTGCCATGTAACAAATGTCGTGGGTGAGTAGGACCTCACCAGGGGGCATGTGTCAGGGGTTCAAAATACAATACTTCCCCTCTATTAAGCTGGAGAGAGACAAGACTAACAGGTAAAAATTCAAGGTAGTATGAAATTTAAGTTCTGCAAATTTGGCATAGACTGAGTATTGCTGGAAGAGTTCTTTGTAGTGGGTGGCTTGGGGAACAGGTGATGCCACTTCCCAGCCATGTCTGATTGAACGTTCAGAGTGGGGGCCTGGCCCAGATGGGGCCCATCAGTAGACTGACCAGGAGCCAGAGCTGGACCCAGACCAGAACAATGAGTTAGACCAGTCAGATTACTCCACTGGGAAACTGAGTTAAGAGACCGCATGAGCCTCTAGTTAGCTGTGGTCATTGCACTGAAATCTGGAGCTGTTGGCTGTGTGGTGGGCGGAGCAGAGGAGGCTAAGGGTGGTAAGCAAGTCAGATATGTGGGAGCAGAATGGAGCAGGCAGAGGAAGCTGAGTGGTCAGGCTGGGAGGACAGAGGACACCCACCCAGGGAGGAAGAGAGGACACGAGAGACTGACAGAGATGGGCAAGCTGCCCAGCTCTGAGAAAGGAGCTTTGGCCCTTGGCACACCAGGGGCATGGTCTGCCATTATAGTGAAATTTGTGACTTCTAGTTTGCTCCCCACTGCCCTGTGGATTTTAACAATGCAAACCAAAGGCCCTGGGAGGGACTAACCTCACAACAGGTGATCATCCTCAGGAAGTAGGAGACACCTACAACGGCAGACATTTAGCAGAACTGAGTTTAGTATGCAAACACAGTGTTTTATGGATACAAAGGGGTCTCAGGTAAATCTCTGAGTGGATAATGAACACTGACATCACATAGGAACTGCCAATCAGACCCTGGAAAGGTGATGTGCATGGTCGGGACAACAACAGAGTTGGCAATATAAAAATGATAAAAACAAATACCATGTATGATGTGTCCCATTATTTCCCCAATTCTGGCATAGGATATATTTAGAGCATCGTAGGAACTTAATATGTATTTGTTGAATAACTGAACAAAAGTAATAGGGGAACTAAAGTGTCATTAAACGAGCAAGTATAAGAGAGAAAAGCAAAAGGCTAGGGGGGTCCCTTTGGGAGTGACACCTTAGGCGTGGGAGGAAGGTGAGGATCCCACAAAGGAGATAAAGAAGGAGTGGGGAGCGAAAGAAAAGGGAAGATGGGGAGCACGAATTCTCACTGAAGAAATATACATGTGAAGAAGATGTAGCATGGCCTAACTTTAAAAGATTAGATTTGGCAATAAATCTTACTTAGGAAACCATTTTTAAAAATAAAAAATTTCTCTAATGTGAATTCTAACATTTTTGGCCATGTGTTAAGAGTCTGTCTCCATACAACTAAATAATTCAATATTTATGTGCCAAATCCAAGTAAGTATATGAATGATATTTGAATTGGAAAGTCCGTAGGTATGGTCACGTCTTACTCAGTATGTTTTCTCTTATATTATAATTTTATTACCAAATAAGGCTAGATACAATAAGCATGGTCACCAAAAGCATCATTACAAAAGCTCTAATAGTGGCTAATTTTTATACAATGATTTAGAGTTGACAAGGCCCTTCCTACACATATCATTTCTTTTAATTCCCATTACAACCCTGTAAGGTAGTATAATGTGGGGATCATGACTGTCAACTTTGAAGCCAAACTCCCTGGCCTGAATCTTTCTGTCATGTATTAGCTGTCTAACTTTGAACAAGTACCTTCTCGTCTTTGACCTTGGTTTCCTCATCTGCACAATGGGGTAATGAGAGTATATATCTCACAGGGTTTTGTGGATGAAATGTGTTGATCCACATAAAGTATTTCAAACAGTGCCCGACATGTGGCAAATAGCTAACAAGTGTCACCTGGTAATATTAGTGGACATGGTGATGGAGGTATTAGAAAAAATATTAGGATTTTCAGAGTAAATGAGACTTAGAGAAGGTGAGTACTTTGATCAAGCCAACACACTTTGGAAGTGATGGTGTCACAAGCCTTGTACCCAGTTTCCTATGGCCAAATGCTATATTTTTTAGAAAATATGGTATTGGATTTAGGCCCTCTAATTCGAAATATAAAAAATTACTTCAAACCAGTAAAATTCTAACTAATTTTCTAGAATCCAGAACAAGCACAATACATTAAATTAAGAGGGAAAGAAAGAGAGAGAGAAAGGAGGGGAGAAAGAAAAAGAGAGAGAGAGAGAAAGAAAGAGTGAGCCAATATAAAGAAACCAAATTACTAACCGTTTACGATCCCCTGGGTTAATAGCAACTAAGGATCCTCTATCCCAAATCCTGTCAAATTTGCCAATATTTGCTCTATCAGAAAGAAAAAGAAAAAATACATTTTACATAAGAAAAATAAAATTTTTTTTAAAGATTTTATTTATTTATTTTTAAAGAGAGGGCAAGGGAGGGAGAAAGAAGGTGAGAAACATTGGTTGGTTGCCTCTCATATGTGCCCCGACTAGGGACCAAGCCCACAACCCAGGCATGTGCCCTGACAGGGAATCAAACTGACAACCTTTTGCTTGTGGTTTGACACCCAACCAACCAAGCCATAGCAGTCAGGGAAGAACAATCAAATTTTTAACAAGACACACAGTGTTCCCCATGATGCATGCTGGTACTTCACCAGGTGTAATAGACCCAGGTGTGAAGGTGACATTGGTCTTGCTCTTGCTTCCTTTTCCTTACCTGTCTAGGGTCATAATAATGCTTTCCATAGTTTGGGAGTTATCAAGGACAAAGATATTGGGAGGTAGAAGATGTTCAATTACTGCTGGCCTCATGAATTTTTTGTCAGACATGTAACCTGCAGTAAAAATAACTGCAGAACAGACCCATATCAATGCTTCGTGGATGCTACTACAAGTTGATGGGAGGGAGGAAAAACACTTCCCCACCCCCAGCACTGCTAGCAAACACTCAAGTTTTTGTAAGTGCACAGGTAATATTCAGTCCTACCTGGGAAGATCAAAAAGGTTGCAGCAGTATAGTGAGATGTTCCCCGAAGAACTCTGTAAGGAAAAATTTCAAGAAAAAAATTTCTACTTAATTAGGAGATACTTGAGTAGTCAAGGAAAGAAAAGAGGGGCAAAGCAAGGGTGATGAAGAAAGAATGTATAATTAAATATAAAGAGTATAATTTTACTGCAAATAACTTTTTTACTGAAAAATATTTAAATGGCACTGCAGTTTTTTAAACCTGTTCTTTTTGATCAACTCAAAGAGCAAAATAATAGAGAGGTTAATCTCATTACCTTACTATAATGTTTAACTTATTTAACTTAAGTCCTTATTTAGACTCTGCTAAAGATAAATACACAGGTCAATCAATACCAGGCAGGCTGACGGAGAAAGGTCTCATGTGTTAGAAGTTATTCATGAAAAGTGCAGTTGGGTTGACATCCCTTCTCTCTTGATTCATTCATCTAATGAGCATTTATTTTCTGAGCACGTGGACAAGATTACCCTGGTTCTAGATAGTGGATGTGAATTTGACATGGTCTCTGACCACAGTGGGGACAGCCTGGTAGAGCAGAGAGGCGTGTGGGTACAAAGAAATATTACACTGCAGAATGGCCTGTGCTGTTCTGGTTGTATGCCTGAGAACTATGGGAACAGAGGACAGAACAGGGAACTGCCTGGGGAAAGGCTGAAGAAGAGGCGGCCTTTGAAAGGGTGTTGATGCATCTGCTAACATTACAGGGGTTGGGCTGGAGGAACAGTCCAGGGGGAGTACCATGACATGGACTCCGCCATGTTCGGGGATATGAGAAGTCTGAGAGGTGGGGTGGGGTAGTGTGGGGGTGGGGTGAAAGGCAAGTTAGCAAAGGCACATCGGGACGTGAAACTGTTAGATTTTATTCTAAAATGAGACACCGACAAAGGTTTACAAATAGAAGAGGGGAGATCTTTGAAAACCCATTTGGAAGTACTCTAGGAGCAGCCCAGAGAGGGCTAGGCCTGGAGGCAGGGAGAACAGATAGTGAATTTTAACTTTGGTTGCAGACTGGAATCACTGGGGAACTTTAAATAATACTGATGCTAGCCCCACCCCCTAGAGACTCTGATTTAATTAGTCTGAGGTAAGACCTCAGACTGGGAACTTTACCAGATCCACAGCTGAGGAACTCCCGGGCAAGATGGCAGCATAGGTAAATATGGTACTCACCTCCTCCTGCACCACATCAAAATTACAACTAAACTACAGAACAACCATCATTCAGAATGCCTGAAATCTAGCTGAACAGAAGTCCTAAAACTAGAGACTTAAAGATGGAGCCACATTGAAATTGGTGGGAGGGGCAGAGATGAGGAATGGGCTGTTTCCATACCCATGTGTGATGGATAAAAATTAGGAGGGATATTTTGGTTGCAGAGGTCTCACCTGAGAAGTGGGGGGGTCTTCACACCAGGTTCCCCAGCCCAGGATTCCAGAGCCAGGAAGTAAAGTCCCCATAACATCTGGTTGTGGGAACCAGGGGGGATTCAGGCTGAGAGAGACCGAAGCTTTCTGGAGTCCTAGGCAGTTCCTCTTTAAAGGGCCTACACATGGACTTACTCTGACTCAATCCTTCTGAGCTCCAGTGTTGGAGCAGCACTTAAAAGGTAACAGAGATATGCACAAAGAAACTGAATTGTCTGGCATCAGGGTGAGAGCTGGGGATGGGCAGCTTTCTCCCAGACAAAAGTGCTGGCAGAGGCCATTGTTCCTTTTCTGAGCCCTCCCCCACAGAGCTGGCAGGAAGGCACCATATCTGAGTCTCCATCAACCTGGCTCACACTGTTTGTCCTGCCCTGGTGATTCCCTGAAACCCTTCCCCACTCAATTTTCAGGCCCACCTAAGCTATTTGCACTAGCTTTTCCATCTGAATGGACTTTTTTCACTAATGCTTCAAATTTTCCTAAAATGTCAAAAACAAGTAGCATCTGATCTCAGCATGTCCCTATCTCTCACCATGTGGCCCCAGGCCTGACACTACCAGCAGCCAGCCTTGGTTCAGAGCTTGGCCTTGTCTGTGTACCTTCAAGTCCAGCACAGTGGCAGCCATCAGCAGACTGCTCTGTAGCTCATGCCTGGTGACCCTAGACATAACACAGGTGGCTGCTGAACTTGGCCTGCACCTCACTGGAAGCCCTAAAGTCAACGTACCCAGGGACAGCTTCAGACCATGTTGAAACACCGTCACCTAACCACCTCCACAAGCAGCACATTCAAGGGGCAGACACCAGAGCCCTGTGAAAGTAAGTCCTGCTCTGTGGGGTGGGCATCTACACAGCTGATCCTCAAAGTTGATCAGAGGTTGGTGGTCACAGCCAGGTAGTCCTTGCAGCTGATCAACCTGGAGGTAAATCTCTCCCATTGATATGCCAACAGCTATCAAGTCTCAACTACAACAGGAAGGTGTACACAGCTCCATTGGGGGGGGGCACCTCACATGCCCAGCTTGGGTGCTCAAGAAGGCTGTGCCACTGGACTCTGCAGAACACCTCTTACATTAGGCCATGCTACCAAGCCTGGGAAACATAGCAACTCTACCAAATACATAGAAAAAAACCACAAGGAGGCAGCCAAAATTAGAAAACAAAGAAACATGTCCTAAATGAAATAGTACAAAACTCCAGAAAAAGAACTAAACAAAATGGAGACAAGCAATCTACTAGATGCAGAGTTAAAAACACTGGTTATAAAGATGCTCAAAGAAATTAGCACCTCAACAGCATAAAAAAGGACCAATCAGAAATGAAGGCTATACTAACTGAAATGAAGAATAATTTATAGGGAATCAACAGTAGAATAGATGACGCACAGAATCAAATCAGTGATTTAGAATATAAGGAAGCAAAAAACACTCTATCTGAATAGCAAAAAGAAAAATGAATCCAAAAAATGAGCATAGTGTAAGGTGCCTTTGGAACAACTTAAAGCATTCCAACATTTGCATCATGGGGGTGCTGGAAAGAGGAGAGAGAGCAAGAAATGGAAAACTTATTTGAAAAAATAATGATGGAAAACTTTCCTAAGCTGGTGAAGGAATAGACACACTAGTACAGGAAGCACATAAAGTCCCATATATGATGAACCCAAAGAGGCCCACACCAGGGCACATCATAATTAAAATGCCAAGGGTTAAGACAAAGAGAGAATATTAAAAGCAGCATGAGAAAAGCAACTGGTTACCTACAAGGGAGGTTCCATAAGAATGTCAGCTGATTTCTCAACAGAAACTTTGAAGGCCAGAAGAGATTGGCAAGAAATATTCCAACTGATGAAAAGAAAGGACTTACAACTGAGATTACTCTAGCCAGCAAAGCTATCATTTAGAATTCAAAGATAGATAAAGAGTTTCCCAGATAAGAAATAGCTCTTTAAGAAGAAGGAAAACTTTCCATGCTGTTAGTGCTCTCACAAACATGGTGAATGTTCCTAAAACCTGCCGGACTTTCTGTAAAAAGTGTGGAAAGCATCAACCTCACAAAGTAACAAGAAGGGAAAGGATTCTCTGTACGCACAGGGGAAGCAGCGTTATGACAGAAAGCAGAGTGGCTACAGTGGGCAGACTAAGTCGATTTTCCGGAAAAAGGCTAAAACTACAAAGAAGATTGTGCTGAGGCTTGAATGTGTTGAGCCCAATTGCAGATTTAAGAGAATGCTGGCTGACAAGAGATGCAAGCATTTTGAACTGGGAAGAGATAAGAAGAGAAAGGGCCAAGTGATCCAGTTCTAAGCTTGACAATAAAATCATGAGGATATGTTCAAAAAAAAAAGAAGGAAAAATATATGAACAATAAAATGGCAATAAATACATATCTATCTCCAACTGAATATAAAAAACAAAGTACATGAACAAGCAGAACAGAGACAGACTCATAGATACAGAGAACATTTTGATGGTTGCCAAATAAGAGGAGGGTTGGGGGGATGGATGAAAATGGTGAAGGGATTAAGAAGTAAAAATTGGTTAAGAAGTACTGAATAGTCATGGGAATATAAAGTATAACACAGGGAACACAGTCAATAATATTCTAACAATTATTTATGGTTTCAGATGGCAAGACTTAGGATGATCACTTAGCAAGTTATGTAATGTCTAATCACTGGGGTTTACACCTGAAACTAATATAACAATGTATATCAAATGTAATTGAAAAATAAAAATTATTTAAAAATGAAAAAAAAAAGGGTCCACAGGTGATTTCAAATGTCCCACTAGAGCTGAGAACCATTGCTCCAAGGAGTCTGGAAGCTGGATTAGCTTCTTCAGGCTGAGTAATCTTTTGGGATCCTTAGGTGACTGTGAATAGGGTAGGAGAAAGCTGTAAAATAAAGTACTATTAAGCCTTGTAATGACTTGAGGAATTAATTTCAATACTTAGAAAAGACAGTACTTTGCAAAAAACTGAATAGACAAACACAATGGCTAGACCATGTAAGACAAGAGAACTTGGACCCACTGCCTCTGCAGCAATCAGCCAGGAAAGCCAAACCACAGCCTGTTTGGTCAATGCATGCCAGCTCCCTAATTTCATTCCTCCTACTGAAGACCCACCAGAGAAAGTCAAACATAAACCCCAAACCCATCACAAAGCATGCTCTCCTCTAGTTCACCCCATTCTGTTTTTCCCAGGCCAACAGCCTCCAATCAGGGCATAACTGAAGCCTTTGTGTTCTTCACTATAAAGCTTTCCGACTCTCCCACCCATCTTTGAGCCCCTGCCAAATACAAGTGGCTGACCCCCTCTGAATAAACAGCCTCTGCTTATTCACGTTTGGGCGGTGGTTACCATTCCTACACTATTACCCCAAGCTGGTGAGGTGGTTCCACTGGATCATTCTGGTCATAGGATGACAACTCCCAAGTCTATTGTTTCCTGCCCAAGTGCTGCCCCATGCGTCAGGGACATAAAACCATTTGCCAGCCACACCTTTGCTATTCTGTAGGTCTCTTAAACTCATCTCTAGAACAAAACTGATTCTCTCTGCTTGTTTTCAACTTGCTTTATTCTCTGCCATTCAACCTAAGCTAGAAAGGTAAACTCCTCATCACCTTGATCTCTCAGTTAATCACTAAATTCTCCCAGTCTGGCATTCTAAGCATTACTTTAACCTACCTCTGGTCCTCTAAGCACCTATATCACTTCAAGATCTCTTTCCTAGACCACTGCTCACAGCCTCCCATCTGGTCTCTTTGCCAGGAGGTTCCTTCCCTTCAAATTTACAGCCTTGGAGGCCACAAGGGTCTTTGGCTCAAAAGAAAATCTGGCAGTGTCATGTCCCCACTTTGAAACCTTGCTGCACGGGCTGAAGTACCACCTTCCCAGGGCATCTGAAACCATGAACCTGAACGCCTGCCTGGCCCAGCCCTACCAGTCACCACGCTTCAGGAAGCTCCCCCAGCTGGGTTAGGTAATTTTCCTCTGTTCCCTTAATACCCTGTGCCATTATACTTAGCTCCGTGTGTGACAAACAGCTTCCTCTGCATTCTCTTTTCTCTCATAAGCTAAAGGATTTAGGGCAGGAACTGTGTTACTTCTTCAATGTTTCACGCAGGGTGTGGCACAAGACAGGTTTTCAGAAATGCTGATTTATAAATTTTAAAAAATTACACACACCCAAACCAAAAACACGAGTCCAGATAGGCTTTGACCTCAGGTTTTATATACAGGGTCTGGCACAAGAACCACCTGCTTCAGTGTGGTTGGTAGAGTAAAAATTGGGTGTAACAATTTATAGTTTTAATTTGAGCATTTCACCTAAAATGTCATACGGTGTGCCTGAGTGTGATATTGTTATGTTACAGAATTACATGCTTATGGTTCTGTAATAAAGATTTTGTGATAAACAATATGGTGATTGTGCCAGACCCTGTATATTTCTATACCTAGCTATCCATCTATCTTTTTAAGCCCTAGTTCTTTACACCATTTAATGTCTAGGTGAATTTTATATACACTTGTATAGTATCCTCATCCATGCTAAGAAAAACTTTTGGTGGGGGCATGGAAGTAATTATTTACCAAAACAAAACAAACCTTGAATACTTTGGCTCCAGGAATTGCCACGATTGGCTCTTCTGTGTAAGAAAGGTTCTGCTCCGTAAAAAATTCCCAGATCCCAAGTTCACTGATTTCCACTCCAACTACGCTGTGACCTCGATCTGCAAACCTGCATAAACCATATATTTACACTTAAATTTTTATTTCAAATACAGCACTAAATAAAAGGATATGCCCCAATAAGCATATATCTTCCTTAACTTTAAAAGATTTATACGAATTCAGGTTCTTTGGTTTCATAGAATATGTAGATCCGCAGGAAGTGAATCTCTATATTCTCAAACCTTACGTTATATGGAATTCTGAAAAGTTTATATGACCTTAGGAAGAAACTTTAAATTTTGGAAAATTATGCCTTAAAATGTTCATTTATTACAAATGGATTTGATTAGAAGAGTTTTTAATTTAAAAGCATCCTATGGATTAGAAATGCTTTTCAAGTTCTCTAAATCAGCTCTGTCCATGACAGCCTTCAACAATGATAGAAGTGCTCACACCTATCTATGCTGTCCAAACCAGCAGCCGCTAACCACATTGGCTGCGGAGTATTTGAGATGTGGCTAATGTGATTTAGTTTAAATTTGAATAGCCACATGCGGATAGTAGCTATGGTACTGGAGCATACAGCTCTAGAACACTGGCATCAATTTTTATAAAAATCTTATAATTTTCATTTACTTGTAGTACACACTATCCAGAAATTTATTTAATTACTATATGCAAATAACTAGTACCTTGCCGTAAGCTTTATAATCACAGAATTCATACATTTTCTTGGACTCCAGGGAAAACTCTACTAGTGGCACAAAATACCTAGGCAAGTATTGATTTTACGTAAAATTAAATAAACACATACAGTCAGTTCTGCTATAATGCAACATATGCCAACCTAAAAATCACTGCACTATGCAAAAATCATGCAATAAATAAGGCTCCTAAGAAGATAAGGGTTGGGGCACAACATTAAAAACTTAGTCGTAATAGAGTATTATTCAGCTGTAAAAGAACAGAATGTTGCCATTAATGATGACCACGATGTACCTTAAGGGTATTATTCTAATTGAAATAACTCAGAAAAAAAAAGACAAATACCTTATGATCTCATTTATATGTGGAATCTACAAAAAACAACCAAACAAACAAACTCAGAGATACAGAGAACATATTGATGGCTGCCAGAGGCTGGAATTGGGGGGTGGGCAAAATGGATGAAGGGGGTCAAAAAGTACAAACTTGCAGTTATAAAATAAGGCAGCCCTGGGGATGTGATATACAGCATGGGGGCTACAGGTAATAATCTGTAATGCACACAGGGTGGGGCAAAAGTTTACAGTTTGTTTGGAAAATATTAATAATAATAATACAAAAATAAACTGTGTTTCACACACTCACAACAACCATAAGCCTACTTTCCCTACCCCATATTTAAAAATTACTGAGTTAAAAATTCTCATCATGAAAAAAAAATGTTTATAACTATGCATTACGATGAATCTTAACAAGATTTATCGTGATCATTTTGCAGTACCTACAAACATCGAATCATTATGTTGTACACTTGAAACTAACATAATATATGTCAGTTATACCTTAATTAATTAAGAGTTCCAGTGGGCTATTATTAAGATTACAAAAATAAAGATTTTATCAACCATCTTTTCTGAACTTTATAAACTTACTAGAGACTCTGGTCCATCAGTGCACATACAACATAACACATTCCAGCAAAAACAAAGCTCCACTGGATCATTTGCCAATTAACAGAAAGACAATTTTCCCTTTCCCCACACATTTTCAAAGTTTTGAGTTCCCACTGTTCACTTCTCGGTGGAACCAGTCCCTTGTGGCTAGGGATAATGAAATTCTACCCTGTTTTTACTGAACAAGAAATTTTTTTCAAGCTTTAGTTTTATTTCAAAAAAGGTAACAGTGACTTTGTTTTCTCCAGGCACCACCCCCCCAACAACCATTTGCTAAAGTACAGAGGTCTGTATCTTAACAACCCATCCTGACCCCTCCCCTGCGCAGAATTGTACTCTCCCTGCTGGACTCTCCGGGCTGGGGAGCAGCAGAGTCCAGGTGCCAGGCTAGCTCCCTCTGACTTCAGGAACTGTTACAACCTTTGGACCCTCAACTCTTTACCCCAATGGTGAGTTTTAAAATCTGGAGAGTGGATTTTCTTTGGGTGTTTTATTTTTATTTATTTATTTTATTTAAAAAAATACTTTATTTTCACAGAGTAGAAGGGAAGAAGAAAGAGACAGAGCAAAACACTGATGTTAGAGAGAAAAGAAACATCAATGTGAGACAGAAACATCAACTGGTTGCCTCTTGCACATGCCCTGACTGGGGATGGAACCCTAAAACCCAGGCATGTGCCCTAACCAGGAATCGAACTGATGACCTTTTACTCTGGGGATGATGCCCAACCAACTGAGCCATACCAGTCAGACTTCTTTGGGTGTTTTGAAAAAAATGATCTGTAAGGATATACAGTAGAACTATAAGCTCACCAAAGTCCACTTGAATACTCCAAAAAGTTGACTGACTTCAGCTCCCAGGAGACCAATATTTTTTTGTTTGACAAAGATACTTTGCCAGAAAATGATTCCACAATAACAATTTTAAGATACATAGGAAACTGAAGAAGTAACAAATTAAAATAGCATGGCTTAATTTCAGGAATCTATTTCCTCTTTTTTCTTCATCTATAAGGTCACGAGTATGGCTAAAGGCAGTTTCTGATGAGGTTATCAGCTTTCCAAGCATTTCTAAATCCTTAGTGTAGACACCCTCCCTTTTGGGGCACAGTCACCTCCCTCCCACCCCTATTTTTAAAAAGAAGAAAATGAAACAAAGTGATCAGAGATGTTTTGATTTCAGCAATTTACACTCAAGGCTTTGTGCTGAGTTGCCTGGTTCTAACCCAAGATGATGGCTCAAACGCAAAGCACACAGCAAAGGAAGGATGCTCCCATCTCATTCTGAAAGCAAGTATTGATGACTAGTTGCCTCCCCCTCTTCCCCCCAGAATTATACTTTAATTTAAAAGTAACATTTTAAAAAAGCTGTTACACATTTGCTATAACTTATCTCTGTGAATCAGGATTTTCTCAATAATGTACAATTAAATGAAATTTAGAAATATATTGGGTAAAAATTATTTAAGAAAAAAGTTGTCAGTGGCACATTAAAAGGAAAAAGAGAGGAACCTAAAAGAACTGGTGTCAGAGGTCTTACACGTGTTAAATGGTTATATAATATGTAAGTACTACAACACGGCACCAGAAGTTTACTTGTAGAGCTGAGCGTTGGAAGGGCTGCAGCTTTCAAGTCAGTGTGAAATGATGGACAGAGGATTATTGGAAATCAAAGCTAAGTCCTAACTCTGGCTGTGGATGGGAGTGAGAGCACACAGGGTGAACTGAGGCACCTGGGAGAGGCTGGAGGTGTGTGCCTGAGTTCGTTTTGTCTATTCACGCTCAGCTTAGTCCCACTGGGCAAAATCATTTGTTTTCCCCTTGTGTTTCTTACAGACTAAGCAAATGTAAAATTCACATCATGCTCAAATTATTCCCTAAGATATCAATAAACTTAGAATGAAATTCACATTTTTAAAACAAGAGGTAGAGCTGAAGCGACTACACCTACTACCCACACAGCGCTACACACTTCCAGTGTGGTCAGAGCATGAACTGTTCATAGTTCTCAAATATGCATATGAATAACTTATCTTTCATATTCCCTAGGAAGTCTGTAAGTTACCATACATGGAATATTTTTTATATTCTTCATACATTTTATAAAGTTACAAAATATAAACAAAAGAGTCTAAACCAGCTGTATGAATTTTTATTTCCATTCAACACATGGAAAAGTGAAATGACCTACTATAAAGTGGTAGGAGCTGGATAACATTGGAATATATTGCCCTTAAAAAGAACCTAAAGAAATGTCTTATACATTTCATTTTAATGCTGTTCGGCCTCCGCTCATAGTTTATTCATATCTGACATCTGTATAGATATCAATATACAAATTAGTTAAATAAGTGAAAAATTCTCAAATAACATATGTAATTATATATAATTGCATATATATAATAGTTTAGTTCTGGTATTTTTTAATTATAAAATGACTTTCAACCCAAAATATTTAACAATCACATTTAATTGGTTGTCTCATTCTATTTCCTAATCTTGTCTCAAAATCTCTGCTACAGTTAGATTGTTCTTATCACTTATGACATAGTATTGAGACAATCTATTTATAGTTAGTGTTTTTCTTACAGGTAGTTTCTAAAGTAATCCTTTCTTCTATTTCAGTCAGCTGGTTAGGATAAAGTATAATAACATAGTTTAAATATTCTCAATTTCATGGCCACACTAAAACGTAAGCTATAGCAGCCATTTCACAAATGATCTCAGCTATAAGCATTTTCCATCAACAGAAGAAAGTGGACTTCTGGTCAAGATGGAGGCATAGGAAGACAAGCTTCAGCAGAATGTGAGGTTCCACACTCATGTATGGTGGATGAAAATTGGGAGGGATACCTTGGGAGCCAGCAATCCTAGCCCCAGACATGACTGCAGAGCCCAGGGTTCTAGCACTGGGAAAATAAATCCCTATAACTTCTGGCTGTAAAAATCAGTGGGGGCTGGGGCGGTGGAAGAAACTGACAGATTTTCAGAAAAGTCCAATTAAAGGGCCTGCACAGACTTAAAACGTATGCAAAACTAGCCACTCTGGGATTCACCACCAAAGTAACAGCTGTAAGGACACCAGTCTCATACGAAAAGTGGGTGAAGTGACTAGAAATGGGATGCGCGCCAGACAAACCTCCAGAAGCCAGGCAGTGGCATTGTTCTCTCTCCAAGCCTTCCCCCAACCCAGAGCCACAAAGCAGTGAAGTGGGTTGCCTCACCATGGCAATTACCTAAGGTTCTGCCCCACACAATATACAGGAGTCTTTTCTAAGACAGGGAGTCAAAGCAGCTCTACCTAATACACAGAAACAAACACAAGGAAGCTGCCAAAATGAGGAGACAAAGAAATATGGCCCAAATCAAAGAACAGAACAAAACCCCAGAAAGGAAACTAAAAATGGAGATAACCAACCTATCAGATACTGAGTTCAAAACACTGGTTATCAGGATGCTCAAAGAACTCACTGATGACAGCAAAAACAGAAGGGAAGAAATAAAGGTTATACTAAGTGAACTAAAGAAAAATCCACAGGGAACTAACAGTGGAGAGGATGAAGCCAGGAATCAAATCAACAACTTGGAACACAGGAAGGAAAAAAGCATTCAATCAAAACAGCAGGAAGAAAAAAGAATTATAAAAAATGAGGATAGGCTTAGGAACCTATGGGGCAACTTTAAAGGTATCAACATCCAAATCATAGGGGTACGAAAAAGAGAAGAGGAAGAGCAAGAAATTGAAAATTTATTTGAAAAAATAATGAAGGAAAACTTCACCAATCTGGAAAAGGAAACAGACATATAAGTCCAGGAAGCACAGAAAGTGATGAACAGATGAATACAAAGAGGAAAACAAGACACATCATAATTAAAATGCCAAGGGTTAAAGACAAAGAGAGAATCTTAAAAGCAGCAAGAGAAAAGGAGACAGTTACCTACAAAGGAGTTCCTATAAGCCTGTCAGCTGGTTTCCCAAAAGAAATCTTGCAGGCAAGCAAGAAGGGACAGGCAAAAAGTATTCAAAGTGATGAACAGCAAGGACCCACATACAAGATTACTCTATCCAGCAAAGCTGTCACTTAGAATGGAAGGGCAGATAAAGTACTTCCCAGACAAAGTAAAGCTAAGGAATTCATCATTACCAAGCCACTATTACATGAAATGTTAAAAGGAATTATATAAGAAAAATAAGATCAAAACTATGAACATTAAAAGGTCAACAAATTCACAACTATCAACAAATTAAAAACAAACAAAAAACTAAGCAAACAACCAGAACAAGAACAGAATCATACATAGGGAGATCATTTGAAGGGTTATCAGCTGGGAGGGAGAAGGGAGAGAATGGGGGTAAGGTGCAGGGATTAAGAAGCAAAATTGGTAGGTACAAAATAGACAGGGGGATGTTAATAGTACATGAAATGGAGAACCCAAAGAGCTTATATGCATGATGCATGGACATGAACTAAGGGAGGGACTCCTGGAGAGAATTAGGGGTACTGGGCAGAGGGGGGCAAAAGGGAAAAAATTGGGACAACTGTAATAGCATAATCAATAAAATACATTAAAAAAGAAAGGCAAAAAAAAGACAAGAAAATGTATCAATGCTTATCTGCTCATACCATTTCATCTCAACTGCTTTTCCACAAAGAGGGAAAAATACTCTCAGTCCACTCTCGCCTTTAAGGAAATTATCCAAATGCTTCTTTAATAGCCTGGAGACAAAAAAAATGTTTTTGTTTTAATTAGCCAATGCACAGAGGAAAGGACAACAATTGCATAATGCTAAGTACTTTTCATGCATTATCTCACTTACTATTCCCAACAACTTTATAAAGTAGATGACATTAATTATTATAATCTCCATTTGGCATAGGAAGAAACAGAGAAGTTAAGTAACTTGCTCAGTAACATAGCTAGTGAATGATTAATCTGACTCAAATCCAGGTCTTTCCTGATTGGCAATTAAAAATGTTTAAAAATTGTTCCTTGGTTGATATGTTTTAAAAATTCTTTAAAAAAATTTTTTTTAGAATGAAACTTACTTTTTCTTTAAGATTTTATTTACTTATTTTTAGAGGGGGAAGGGAGGGAGAAAGAGAGAGAGAGAGAAACATCAATGTGTGGTTGCTGGGGGTCCTGGCCTGCAACCCAGGCATGTACCCTGACTGGGAATCGAACCTGCGACACTTTGGTTCACAGCCTGCGCTCAATCCACTGAGCTACGCCAGCCAGGGCTTTAAAAATTCTTCATTAACCTCCCAAATATATAGGTGCATGTATGTGTGCGTATGAGACGTGGGGGAGCCTTTGGATGTACTGAGTTTTTCCACACCTATTTTACAGTAAGCTCTCTAAATGTGTACTCAGGGCTCAGAAGGAGCTCTGAAAAGTTGTGGCTATTCTTGCAGTTAATTCCTTTGTAGGGATGTGGCTCTCCTCAGGCCACCCACATAACAGGAATAACCCATACAACAATTCTGGGATGATGGCCCAACTACTCAGAGTGCATGTGCAATAATAATAATAATGATGATGCACCCTGGGAAGGCAGGGTGGCTGCCTGAAACAGGGAACATCTGACATGATCGCCTTACTTAGCACTGGCCCATGATTTATTATTGCTGCTTCAAAGCCTACTCCTGCTACTAATATATGGCTCAATATCTTGGCTCATTTGCTAATTTCTTTCATCCTCCCTTCTTTCACCATAGAGATAACACTTTAACATTTCAATGTTGAACAACATTTACTGTTTGAAAACAAAGTCAAAACAACACCACTTTTCAGTGTAAAGATACATAAGCGTTAATGTCGCTTGAGCACCTGCTCTGTGTACAAACATGTGTGGCCAATACATAGATGCTACAGGGGATTTCTCAATTCATGAATCTAACATGTTTTCAATTGTAAGTCATACAGTTATTTATACTCCATGGAAAGATGGAACATGCCACAGATGCAATATGATTTCAGAAATGCTGAAATAAGAAAAAACTAAAAATGTGCATCTTAAAATGTGTAAAATATTATCATTATTTCTATCTCCAAAGTCAGTTTCTGATAGAGCATTTCTTTGTTATATACCAAATATTTCTTACTGGTGTCCTTGTTCTTGATGAAATGCAATTTTGCGGTCCACCCACTTTTCTTGCCATTCTTCCAGAGTTAGTACTTGGTTTTTCTGTACCTCAGCATCGGGGTACTCTTTAAAATTAAGTGAAGTTTTTGTATCATCCATTGTTTCATAAATGCCTTTGCCTAACAGCAGATGTCTCCAATACCTAGGCAGAAAATACTTGCCAAGTTGACATTTAAAGGCACTGTAATTTCATTGAGGAATGAAACAAAAACCATTATCCTCAGCAGTATGGCTGTTAAAAACATATTTCAATATCCCAGAAAAGTCATACAAAAATTACTTTTCAGTGAGTTTGATGGTAGGGGCACCCTCATATTACACATTAGGAAAGATCTTTAAATAAATTGAATTATATCTTAACATTAGAGTAAAAGGATTTAAGTTAAAATAAAGGAGAAAAAGCAAACAGGAATTTCACACTTTATAACTTCCATAAACTTAGAATTTTTTCTAGCATCTCAGTTACTCTTAATTTTAAAATTTTCTTTCAATGTTTACTTATACTTGTAATCACTGTTACAATGCACACAACTTGAAGACTTCAACAGTTACAAAAATAACAGTTCCCATTTGCATGAGAGGCAACCATCTTTAACTTTTTGAACTCAGTCTTCAAATCTAACTTTATCTCAGAATAACAACCTTATTTTTGTATCTTCTTTCATTTTAGGTAACTTGTAGAGAAAAGAAGCATTTAGCCATCTTTCAACTTCCCAACACACATGCACACAAACACACTCACACTCTCTTCTCATTTTTCCTATCCTTTCAATAGAGACATAGCAGATTTTTTATTAAATATGTAGAGCACATTGTTGTGACTCAGTAAATACTATACACAAGCAACATAGTGTTCTATAATTAATGTTCCTTTGTTGTACAACTTTTTCATCCCGAAGTTAATCACTGTTTTGCTTTTTTATTTATAAATTCTCTATATGGTAGTTTGGATTATACTAGTATGTTATTAGTGCTTCTAATTTAATGATTTATCCATGAGAATAGCAAACAATGCATAAAAAGCAGGTATTTCAGGAAAATTGTCTTTATTGCAAACTTTGGCTTTGGTGTGCTTAAGATTTAAGGATTTGTAAATATAAATTCACGTCTCAGCAAACATTTGTTAATAAATTACTTTTGCAAGGCCCTGATGATGTCAGGGGGTGACTCAGTTTTCTTAAGAGGTTAGGGGGAAGTACCTGATGATACTTGGTACAGAAAAGCAAAAGAGAGTTGCTTTTCCCCCATCTTTATATTTAACTGAAATTTTGGGAACGGTGGGCTTAAGACTTCATTAAGCACCTCTCTACTGAAAACAAAGGGGAAGCATAAGTTTATCACAGGGGCAGGGTAACCTGTATTGCACAATTCTATCCATTTCATGCAAACTTAAAATTAACTTACCACGAATATAACTTAATCACTTCTGAGATGTTCTAACAATTTCTTAACTTGCTTATGACCTTTTCTGGAGAAATAAAAGTTTCATTCTAAACCAAGATAAAAGTGTAAACTATAAGCACCCGAAAGGCAAGTTTCAGTAGCACTGCTACCCATACATGGGTAGCATACATAGTTTGGTCGCTCAAGTCCTCCGCGGGTGGACTCCCACCTTTTCTTCAAAAAATATTTGTGCTTTATATTTATTTTTAAATTTTGCTCAATTTAAGAATAACTTCCCTGAAGTGCACAAATTTTAAGAGTACGGCTCAGTGAACTTTTACACAGACATTCACCTTTGTAACCACCATGGAGCAAGACAATATTTAAAGCACCCCAGTTCTCCCCTCCCCTGCCCCTACACCGCCCCTAGTGCACTAGTCTGTCAAGTACTTCTCTTAACAATCACTAATACATATCAATGTTTGGGTTTCACTTAATCATGGACTCACAGAAAGGTCATTCACTGTTTTACCTGGTTATTCCCAGATGCCACTCTGCTCCCTGAACTCTATTCCAGGGCGCCAATTACTCGGCTGTCCACCCTTGTTAGGCTGCCCGATTCCGGAATCCCATCACAGGATTACACCTAGCAAATCATTCCACTCACCCGCGCGGTCTCTACGCCCGGGAAAACGCACCTCGCTTGTCGCCTGCTGCTTTGCGGCCTTGCTCGAACCAAGGACTGGTTAAGCAGCGGACCGCTTCCCGCCCCCTCCTCCCGGGCCTCCTCGTGCGCTCCGCCCCCGTGGCCCACCCACGCACCCACAGCCAGACCCCGCCCCTCCCCAGGTGCCCCGCCTTAGTCCTCGCCCCTCGCCCGCCCCCTCCTTGGACGCCCCGCCTCAGTTCCCGCCCCTGGTTCCACCCTCTACCGGAGTCCAGCACCGCCCCCTCCTTAGGAGCTCGGGCTCGCGCAGCGGCGGAAATGGCCAAGGCGGGGCGAGCGCTGCGGCGAAGGCGAAGGCGGGGACCCTACTCCTCCCCGCTCCCGCCGGCTCCTCCCACTCCGGGTCACGCCGTCACAGGGGCGGAAGCGGCGGCGGCGGTGGCGGCGGCGGCCGAGAGAGGACTGCGGTTCGCAGCGCGGATCCTGCAGTCCTGGGCGCGCGGCGCGCGGCTCGGGAGAGGTGCCCGCGGCCGGGGGCGGCGCGCACCGTCTCTCTCGCGCTCGGAGGTGAGGCGCACGCGGCTCTGGGGGTTACTGTAGGGGCTGCGGCGGATTTCGGGTGACAGCTCCGCACAAAGCAGCTTGGCAGGGGTGCAAACCCTCCTTCTTCCCCTGTGCAGCGCCCCTAGCCCGGTTGGGAGGTGAACGAATGCCCTAGGGACTGATACCTCTCTCTCCGATTTGGAAGCGAGCTGCTGGGTGGGATTCCTGTCTAAGGAAGAGAAATTCCCGGGCTGGGTGTTGCGGCGACGGGGTTCCCCGATTCGTCTTGGTGTTGTGGGTCTCTTCTAACCCCCTACAATATTTCCTTTCTCTACAGTGCTGCCTTCTCCCCGCGACTGCTTGCACCTTTTCAGCGCTCAGGTGAGCACAGGAGGCTGTTGCTTCTCTGGCTTCGGAGCAGAGACGGGAACGCTTTTCGGAAAGCGAGGCGGCTGCAGCTGGCTCAGGGAACGTTGGGGCTCCCTTCTGGGGACTGTTAGAGCCTTGTCACCTGGGGAATGTGTGCTGCGTGGGGGAAAACCCACAGTCCGGAGTAGGAACTCCCTCGCTTGTTCTGCAGAGTGTGGCGGTGAGGAGCTCGTACAGCCTTGCAGGTGTCGTAGTAATGCTTTGAAGCACGATAGGCATGGCCAGGTTGCTGGGGTAACTCCTCCGGGGAACCCGGAGCGGGCGGCCGGATTACGATAGCTGTTAGTCAACAACAGCCTGGCAGCTGGCAGGTGAAACAGGAAGGAAGTGGAAGGCCCAGCTGTAGAAAGTTGGGGTTCGGTGATACGGAACCTAGGCAGATCGGGGCCCAGCCTTGTCTTGGGTGAGTGCGCACGAGTCCGCAGACCAGTCCTTGTGGGAGAGCCATCCCTTCATATTCACGTACAACTTCGGGTTTTTGTATTTTATTTGTTTTTAATCTATTTTAGTGGAAGAAAGGCGAGTGGGAGAGGAGGTTTTTTAAGGAGGTACATGAGAAAAATGACTATCAATAATTGATAGTCTTTCAGGTAGGGAAAGTAATCAACAAAGCATTCAGGCAGTTGAACTGGGTCCATATTTTGGAAAATTTTATTGGTATGGGTGCAGTAAGGTGCTAGTCCTTCCTTATTTTAAGTGGCCCAAAGGGAAATTCCAGAAGTTGTCTGAAGAAATTTCTAGTAGTTTGCCTTATAAATGTTGGTGTCACTATAAATTTTTATTCCAACTTGGAGTCATTTTATGTCATATTTCTGAACATTTTTTTTAAACTTATTGAATAAGCTACTTTAGGAAAATCCTGGGAATTGTTAAAATAGAATCTAGGCACTGATACATCCACTTATATATTTACCCACCCAAAACCAACATTTTCCTCTTTTGTCACATTAAAAGAAAACCAAAGCTATAAATTTAAAGTTAGGGAGATATGCTTATAAAATTATATTGAACGTGAAACAAATTGATTATATTTAAATGAAGTGTGCTTATTAATTTGATAAACCAGGTAGGAAAGCATTTTCAGTATGTTCATTGGTTTTAAAGACACTTTTGATCATTATTTCTGAAATTATATTTAAAAGCACAAAAACTATTGTTCTTTAACTTAAAAATTTTCCCCCCATTTGAAGCCCCAAGAACTCAGCAACAGTGAAAATACAGAAACTACAGCAAGTCTCAAAAGAGGATGAGGGTACATAACTGTGAATCATATTACTGAAAGTGAAAATGTATTACCCTAAAAATCCTCAATCCTATTTTTCCCTGACAACACAGATTTAATAATGGCTTTTATAGCTAATATATTCATTTTTTCCTATCCACTTCTTGATTTACATCATTCTTTACTGCAGTTAAACACATATTTTCCAGTGCAGTTGGACTCAAATGTTTGGTGAAATTTCTGGAAATTATACTTTTTTTTAATAGGATGCTTGCATTTTTAGGGTGAAATGCTGCATGAACCTAGGCTGATTATGTTCCTAAACCCCACTTTAGACTCAAATATTTTTGCTGCAATATTGATATATAGTATACATTTACAGATCTGTATTTATATAATGTCTTATTCGTGGTTCACTTGTGAGTAATGTTGGGTATATGTTTTGTATAAAGAGATTCGTTAGATTGGACAGTCTTTTGAAAATATAAATATGATCCAGAAAGCCTTCTTTGTGTTTAACAATTATTGATAGGCAGGAGTACTTTTAACATCAATAGTGTTTTATCTATCTGTATTTGGAGTGCTGTAGAACTAAATGGCAAATTGTTTAATCCTTAAAGAACTATAATACATTTCAAAATATAGAGAGAGTTGATGTGTTCACAACTAACATAATGGTTTTAAGAAATTGAAGAGTGAGCTAAAGGAAAATCATCCATAACCTTGGTGTCTAGATTTCTCAAAGTCAGTGCAGCTAAAAACCTGAAAGTTTTCACACATGTTAATAATCCATTAAAAGTGCTCTGAGGGGTGTTAGTAGAACTCACAGATAGGAAACAATAGGATAACAAACCTTTCAAAGCTTTCTTCAAGATTAAGATTATATACAGGCATCCCTCACCTTATTGCACTTCACAGGTGTTGCAGTTTTTTTACCAATTGAAGTCAAGACCCTCACCAGAAAAAGATTACAACTCGCTTCATTGCCGTATTCACTCCATTATGGTGGTCTAGTACCTAACCGACAGTATCTCTGGCATATGCCAGTATGTGGAATTTGTATCTTATGATAACACTTTTCTACTTCAAATTCCTTATCCATAGGTATGTCCTATTTATTTGTGTGCTATTTTGTGTGAGTGTATGTAGTAAATACAGTGGATCAAGGAAGGGGATGTGTGATAATTGTAGAACCCATATATTATTGAGTACTTTTGCTAAACTTTTTTTTATTCCTAATCTAACTAAATTGAATAAAATACTAATTTGATGACTCAATCTTTCATGGTTACTATGCATTATTTTTCTCATAGACTTTTGATTCTTAATGTTTTTGTTTAATCATGCTGTTATTAGACTAGTTTGAGAACTTACAAATTTTTTTCAGTAAAAGATATAGTAACTAACCCAGATTCTTAGATTTGGTAGTGACTAGATGGTGTCCCTGAGGTTTATTTGTTGGGTTTTACTAAGAAAGAGTGAGTTTTCTTTTTAAGGTATGATAAGAGATCAAAATTCAGGAACTGCTAAGAAGACACAGTAAGATGGAGAGAAACAGACAAAAATTGAGTGTTTTTACTCATTGAATTTTACAAATAATGTGATTTGTTTATTGGTCGCTTGTGTGGTATTTTCTAAAGTTTATATTTTTAAATGTACATACTACTAATGGGTAACATTTATTGCATACTTAAAATATACCAGGCCTGGTACTCCAAATAGGCTATTTTACTTAATGCTCACACTGATCCTATGATACAATGGTATACACTCTTGCCATGCTCCTTTTATATATGAGAAGACTGAGGTCTTCAGGATATTAAGTAACATATTAAGTAACTTGAAAGCAATGGTTTCACACTCTGGCAGTCTAACTGCAGAGAATGTATTTTACCTAGTTCTGCATAATAACTTTGTTCCAGAATGTTGACAGTATTAGCAAGTGTTAATATTTAATGGTTTAATTATTTATTACTTTATTTTTTTGCAGATTATCTGATGCAATGGCAACCCCACGGGGGAGAACAAAGAAAAAAGCATCTTTTGATCATTCTCCAGATAGCCTTCCTTTGAGGAGTTCCGGTAGGCAGGTATTACTCCTTTGTTCATTTTGTGCACCTGTTTTGAGCACATGGAATTATTCTGATTGGGACTGAAGAATTAGAAGTAAAAAAATATATATCATTCTAGTCCTCAAGGAACTTGTAGTCTAGTAGAGAAACTGACCTTGGAACAATTACAGTCCAGGGTGATAAAAAGATAGAATGTAGACAAAAGCATGCTGGCAGAGGGAATTGCAAAGATGAAGACATAGGGTGTGAATCAGCATGGGGTGTTCAGACAATTGCAGCTGTGTGGTTGCTTCCAGGATGTGAGCTGGGGCCAGATCATGCTTGGCTTGCTGTCGTTCATAGGAATTTGACATCAGCTTGTAGCTGGCTGAGTGCTGTTGATGGGTTACTTACTACCATCTCTTTTGTAGGTCCCCCCCCCCCCGCCAAAGAAACATCTGAAATGATGTAATTCTTTTTCTAGACTTTTTCTAGGTTTTTTAAAATATGCAATACTGAGAGGATAATATCTTGGATGCATTTTAATTCTCTTTAAAGTGCTGATACTTGCACAGTAAAGTTTTAAGGAAATTGCTGTATTATCAGTCCCTAACCTACTGTCAGGGTGTTGTTGATTTTCATGTTTAGAACTTTTCCCAACGTTGAAGTCTTTTTAGTAGTAAACCTCCCACATTACTCTTGCCATTCTGGTGAAATCTTAACCTCAGCTGATTCTTCCTCAGGCAAAGAAAAAAGCAACGGAGATGGCAGATGAGGATGAAGACGGTGGGTCAGAGAAGAAGTACAGGAAATGTGAAAAGGCAGGCTGTACAGCAACATGTCCTGTGTGCT